TTGAAAACAAAAAGTACAAAATTAAAATAAGCTTTACTTTGCACATTGTAGTTCTTTTCACGCTGCATCTCCTGGTATATTTTGTTTTTCTAAAACAACTTATTAAGTGATGCAAAAATGACATGGAAAAAGGCCGTTTTTTTGTCTGAGGGAGAGTGATTATTGATTTTAGTGCTAAGTTAGATAATAATGCCGTTTTTTATGCTTAAAATAAATATATAATACAGAATATTTTTTTAAAAATCGGTAGAATTTTTTCAATATTTTCACCGGTACAGTACTCTAAAAATGTAGGGATGGAATAACAGTGAAATCATTATCATACTATACTGGTCTTAAGTTGATTTCGATTTTTTTCGGTTGGTGAAGTTATTTCAAGAAAATAACAAAAATTTTGTGATAATAGTGTAAAGGTTTTCAAGATTAAAGCCTCGTCATATTTTATGAAATTCAGGTATATTCTTGAAACAGACCTTTCTCAACTGAACAAGTTCAAATGAATCTAACATCACCGTAATTCTATCATGTGTTTATCATTATTCCATACGTGCATGTCTACATCAGTACAGCATTCTATTGTTACCATTGTATCTCTAATGGAATCAGGTCGAATTCCCTTGTGTCAACTTTCAGAAAGGTTAGCTAAGTGGATGTCGGCAATGCTTGTTTTCGATGATCGAAACTATCGACAAGAATCTGAGATGATCTCTGCAATGTCTCCCATGATATATCCAAAAAGCGAACGAAAAGAACGATCACCAATACGAAATAGAGATCATAGAAAGAATTTTAGCGATAATGTAAATAATCAAAAGTACTTATAGATTAAAAAAAAAAATAAATTTAATCTTAATCATTTATTTAAGATAATTTCTGATTAAATTCTTTTCTTCAAGCATTTATTTTATCTTCTATCTTTAAAGGGATATATTATTAATGATTAGTACTGAGAAAATTCTAATTAGTAATTTAGTTTCTAATTTTTATATACAATATAACGTACTTGTCGATCAACATCGCTCATCTCATGTTGTAAAAGAATACTATTATCATTGGGAAAAATCCATGAGTGTGTAGTAAAAAAATCAAGTGTTCGAACATTTTTATAAATTTTATCACAGAGTTTGGAAAAACTAAAATATGAAGAAAAAAAAATTTATCTAATACAATTCTATATGTCAGGTTTATCTTACATTGGTTTTCGACCAATTAAACGCATATAACAATCAAGCATAAATGCAGGAAGTACTTCTTGTAAAAATCGAAGATAAAAATATCGAAATCTATTTAAATAAAGTTTTTTAAACTATGATATTTTAAATTTTTTTTTTTGCTTTTATTTTACCGATTTTCAGTAAATTGTAAATGCGGAAAGCTGATTGCATTTTCCATGCAGACTGTATCAAGATGACCCAAGCCACATTCAATGATTTTACCCCATGTTAATGATCCCAAATGACCAGTACAACAATTAAATACTGGAATAGTCTTTGGGCTAGGCAAAACAAAAAAAAAAGATTATCTATTTGAATTTTTCTACAGAAAATATTATTTCAATTTTAAAACAGCATAAACAATTTATGATTTGAGTCCTACGAGACAATACAGAAAAAAATCAATATTCCGAATTGTTTTAATCCTTATATTAAAGCGTATCGCAACCCTCAATTCTTTTTATTTCTATAAAGTTTCTTAATATTTAAAATATCTGGAGACTCAGCTTCGAGCATGGTATGCATCGAGAAAATCAAAAGAATGCTTCCTTCTAGAGATATTTGAGGCTTTTCATATCTCATCGGAATCTATCTTTGACACAGAGTCCGAATTCAAAAGAGTTTGATCAGTTGAAAATCTTTCTTCATTAGGTGTTAATTATCGTTTTGTACATTTTTATAACTCCTCGAATGGAATCAAGTATTTAGAAAATGAATTTCAAATACACTCTCGTCACATTCTTACGATCTCGACACTAGACACGGAAAAGTTTATTCGATAGGACTCTAATTATGAATTAAATCAAATCAATACTTACTGTTTTATTCCTGTCTGCCATGCAATAGCAATCATCATGTTTACACAAATATCAACTGGAATAATATCAGCTTTTGCTTGAGTACTACCGATCATAGTTCGAAGCATACCTTTGCTTGTCTGAATATTTAGAAAATAATTTCATTAAAATAAATAATACTTTTCATACCGCTACAATCAATCCACTGGCACCATTATAATTATCAATCCAACCCTATTAAAAAAAAAACATAAGCAAATAATCGTAGAAAATTTTGCTAATAAAATTAGTTTCGAATAAAATCTACTGGTATAGGTTCATGCCACGTACAACCAACAATCGATGGACGTATAATAGCTAATGGAAGATCTTTTGCGTCTTGTGATATAACATATTCAGCAAGTGCTTTTGTAAATGTATATGTATTAGGTCTATCATTAATTATTTTATTTGTTAAAGCATCTAATACTTGATCATCCATCCATTCACTAGCATCTAATAATTTTGATGGTTGAATAGGTGGTGGATAAATCATTTCAGCAACATTATTACGATTACAATTAGCATAAGCTGTTGATACATGAACCACAGACTTTAACAGAAAAAAAATACGAAAATCAATATAAAACATTAATTTGATGGCTGAGTAGACATTAATCTTTTCAATCTTGTGCGGACTAGGAAGTTTTGTAGAGAATATAATTCTCTATCGAAAGTGTTTCATCTATTATTTCCGAAAATTATAGACACAATTTCGCTCTAAATATTAACACTCACTTTTGTATGATAAATATGTGATTCATACATAGACATATATGTATATTTTTTCTAAATGAGACATTTGAAGTGAAAAATGACTACTGTTCTATAGTGTATCTTTGGTAATAATGTCGGTTCCAGAAGTAAATGGAGAAAACTCAAGGAGGAATATCTCCTGAACGGATGCAGTTAGCGACCTGCAATCTTCACCATTAGAACGAAAAGATCCAAGGGCATCCACACATGGTAAAATATAATTGGTCAGCAATGGACCAATCAGATGCATTCTCGATGGAAATGTTGAGCACGGTATTCTGGAGCTGTTTCTCAACTTTGCTCGATTGTTAATTTATGTTTTTGATAGAAAAAATTGTTCTCTTTCGATCTACGAAAAGCCCGCCTTTCTAGCTTGTTCTGTTCAAGAGTTATAAGAGTTTTCCTGAGACCCCTGANACAAATATCACCATTCAACTCAGCATGATGAATTACCCCATCCCAGACTGTTTCCTAGGTGATCCAAGGTCAATTGGCTGAAATCAGGGGTCTCAGGAAAACTCGTATAACTCTTGAACAGAACAAGCTAGAAAGGCGGGCTTTTCGTAGATCGAAAGAGAACAATTTTTTCTATCAAAAACGTAAATTAATAATCGAGCAAAGTTGAGAAACAGCTCCAGAATACCGTGCTCAACATTTTCAACGAGAATGCATCTGATTGGTCCATTGCTGACCAATTATATTTTACTATGTGTGGATGCCCCTGGGTCTTTTCGTTCTAATGGTGAAAACCGCAGGTCGCTAGCTGCATCCATTCAGGAGATATTCCTCCTTGAGTTTTCTCCATTTACTTCTGGAACCGACATTCGTTAGAAAGAATTTGAAAAAACAATTTAGTAGCTGAAAAAATTGTTCATCAGAATTGTTGTACCTAAAAACTCCAATGAAACTTCTGGGATGAGAATTTCGGGAAAATTAAGAGCCATCAAATCAGTTCTCTGACATTCATTTAAAACTCAAAAGATTCCTCACGAAATTTTGCATCCAAAAAGTCATTAGTCAACGAAAACTAAAGATGTTTCATATGCGTCTCTGTTCTTTGTTTTATCTTTACTTGTAATTTTTTCATTTTATGACACAAAGCAAGCACTTTTACAACTGCTGCAACATTCATTTGAACGGCTAGCCTAGAAAGAAAAAATAGAACACAATATTTATGTTGAGATTTTGGTTTTTGTTATAAATACCGAAGTGGTTCATGAAAACGAACAGTTGCTGCAGAATGAAAAACAATTTGACAATTTTCAATTAATGTATATTCATCTGTTGAATTAAGACCAAGATTTGGATCAAGTATATCACCTTGTAAAGCAGTTATTTTTTTTTCAAAATCTGGATTAACAGTTCGTGCAGTAGTAAATAACTATAAATATAATACAATGAATTTCTTATGTTAGTTTTTAAAAAACAAAAAAAACTTACAGGACTTTCAAATAATTCTTTTAATCGATCATTTACATTACGTCCTCGTTTTGGTCGAACAAGAAGATAAATGTGTTCAAAATCTTAATTTGAATAAAAAGAAAAATCTTGACTTAATAGAATAAAAAAATTATTTTATGATTTTTTACCTGGACATGATCGAACAAGTTTTTCAACTAATTGTTTTCCAATAAATCCAGTTGCACCAGTAATAAATATTGATTTTCGTTTAAAATATTCGGCGATTGTGCTTGCTTCTGTACTTGCTGACATGATGTTTATATCTAAATACTTAAAAAGACACAAACTATCAGAAGATATTTTTCTGAATTTTCTTTTTCTTATTCATACACAAAACGAAATATAATATTTAGAAATAATTCGAAGTTACAACATAATCACACTCAGATAGACAAAAGCATCAAACAACAAATGATTTGTTCTTTTTAATGGTAGTAACAGCATTAGAAATCGATCACAATGCATGAAAGACAACAACATTTAACATTCGAAATGGATGCACACAAAAAAAAAACATTTTCTATTTAATTAATTTCAATGTAGAAGAAAAAGAAAATACGTCCTAAAAAGAAGTACAATACAAATATTGATAATCAAACTAAGCAAAAAGAAAAAAAAACAAATAGGAAATATTTTGATAATATAGAAAAAGAAAAAGAGGAAATTTCTAGAATAATAATATCACATATAATGTTTATGAACACTGTTCATTGAGTTTCTTTTTTTCTATTTTCTAAATTTATTATAATTTACTAAAATAAAACCATATTTGTAAAATAATACCAGAACTTACGAAATTTTTCTATTCAACCAAACATAGTTAATAATTTCATTAATGATTATCTAGTAATTGAATAAAAAAATAAATTGTTTAATAATTCTATGTTTTGTTTTTACCGGCGATTGTATCTTCCACTTGCCGATGGTGGTGTTAATCGTGTGCCACGATCTCGGTAACGATAGTCATGACCATTTGATCGTTCCGGTGGTGGAAAATATCCATCTATATTAGGATCATAACGCCGTGAAAACGATGGATACATTGGCATTCCATGACGAAAGTATGCTGGTGGTGGCAATGCCGGTGATGCATATGGTGAACGAGACCTAAAGTTCCACATGAATCCAAATCCATTTTCATCATTTTTATATAACTTTTCCACAACATCAAATAGCGCCCAAAGCAACCAAATCCCAAAGAAAATTTCTATATTCTACATCATACATAGATACTTCGACTTTCATATATTTTTTATCTATCCTAGTTTTCAGTCTCCAGAAATTGTTACATATCCAAAAAGATATATTACGTAACACCAATTATATATATATATTATGAACCAAATTATATAGATATGTAGTCATTCAATATTAGTAACCAACTATACCTCGAATAGTGATTAAAGTTTGATGATGGGTATTGATTATAATCATTGTCACGACGACGTGATACACGTCTTTCTGTCATTTGACCATCACATTCACGACTAAATTTAAATATAGAAAATGTAAATTTATTTTCTAGTATATCGTTATGTTTTCTTTTCATGTGAAAGAATATAAAGAAAAACAAAAACCTACCTAAAATGTCCGCGTTGTCCACATTTATAACAGCGCATATTTGGATCATGACGTTGTGAACGATTTCGAGTTCGTGGTCGAGCCCATGTTACTTTTAAACGATTATTTCCATATGATCTTAATCCAATAACAATTGTCTTGTTTAATCTCTTTTTTTTTTCTCTATTTCATATCATACCTTCCATCCATACGATCAATAGCCTTCTGAGCATCTTCTTTATATTTATAAACAACAAATGCAAAACATGATGCACTTGCAACCCAAACTTCAAGAAGTGTACCAAAACGTTGAAACATTTTACGTATATCACCTTCTTGAACACCTGGTGTTAATTCAGCAATATGAACACGATATTCATTTGTTCTTTCACTACTACTATCATGATCAGATAGAGGTGAACGTGAACGTGAATGTCGTGATGATGGTGTTGCACTTCTTGATCGTGGCATTTTTCAATAACGGAAAAAAATAATACTGAAATAAATACAATACTTATCGTTAATAGATTTAATTATATAGATATATATCGAACAGAGGCAGACAAAGAAAAAAAAAAACAGGAAGCCAATGTCGAATTGAGATGTACACACAGAGAAAAAGATAAGTTCACATACAAATAACGTTGAAATGAGAACAGAAAAAACGAAGCAACTAACAGATTATATATATATATATGACAAATGTGTTTGGAAGGAAGAAAAAAAAAGTTATAGATCAATATAATTGTTCATAGATATAAATCAATTTTTGAAAATTATGTTCGAGGTGGACTAAAAACGTAAAAATATTATTGTACAACATAAATATTAATTTAATAAATGACTTAAACTTTATGCTATCAAAGATATTTGCTCATTACTTATTGAACTTTTTGTTTTACATAAACAAAAGTAAACGTTTTTTTTTTTTGCATACTCTGTTACCCTGGCTTAGAAAAATTTTTCTAATCCTTGTCTTACTCTACTTTGCACATCTTGATTAGAAGCATTTTTCACCTGTAAATTATAAGCATAAGGAGTGCTTTTTCTCGAAACATATATTCAGCATAATGAGCTTTCACAAATTTTAACAAATCTAAATTAATAAGCTTTCAAGGCAAAAATTTATTTTTCTTGACATAAGAACAATATTATTGAAGACTAATTTTATATTTGAAATTAGCAATGAATAATGTATAATTTATTAGTCTTCTTTAGAAAGAAAATGTTTTTTTTTTTCTTTTTATGGAATGTGATTTTCTCAGATTATTTTGACATTTGAGATATGCTAAAATTAAACTGAGCACAAAATCAGGTCTTTCTAATTTAAAAAACACATATCCTGGTGACCCATGAAAAAAAAATACACTGTACTTCCCTTCCCATATCTTAAAAATTTGTCGTCTTTTGTCCTAGCGAACTCTTCTCCTAATAGTACATTATTCCATTTATTTGAACAAAAGAATAATATAATAGCATATGTCAAGCATCAATTAAAATCAGGAAAAATATACTCAAAAAAAAAAAAAGAGAACAGACAGAAGCAGAACTCGTTTCTTTTTCTTATAATTAACAAGTTGTAAGACCGAAGACTACAAAACAATATAATAATCTTCTTTTTTTTTTTCTTTAATACTAAACTTGAATAAGATTTACACGTCTACTTAAATAACAAATGCATGTTCATATTTCCCTTACCTTGTATAATAACCAGATCGATTATCACGAGATTTATAATGAGATGATGATAAATTTCGACGAGGACTATACAAGAAAAATAAAACACATACGTAATTATCGAAATGTCAATCGGATGAAAATATAACTTACCTATAACGACGATAGTCTCGAATAACTCGAGGACGAGGTGATCGAGAGCTAAAATTGAAGAAAATATAATAAGAAAAATTTCAAGACTTTTCGTTATATACCGAGATCGAGAATATGATCGTTCACGACGACGATCATTTGAAGCAGATCTAAATAAATATAAACAAATCATTAAACAAAAAAAAAATTTTTTTTTTCCTTCTAATTAACAAATAACTATTTAGTCATGAAAAAACCTCAAAATAATTTACCTTGATCTCATTTTTCCAATGGAATATTAAAAATCCAAATCCATCAATTTTAAATATTTAGCCCAGTCAAGACCATATTAATGATCCCAATATGATACATTCTGTACAGTTATTCCATCAACCAAATGTATCTTTTAATAAAAAAAAACTTACCGATATTCATTGCCATTTTTTTTGTAAGTTCGTTGATCATTACCACAATCTCGACTAAAATGACCTCGAGAACCACATTGATAACATCGCCTTTTAAATAAAAACATAAAAAAAAAGAAAATTCGAAATAGTTATTAGATTAGTTTATTTCTCTGAGCTTTCAACTATAAATAGATCTTAATGAAACTAAGAATATTCCTAAACTGTTCGCACTTGAGACTCTTCATACTCGAAATATGGTTAACTGTAAGACGAAAAAAAAAATAATATGACTTTTTAAATTATCATTTTAATAACGAGATCTTTTAGTAATCTTCATGAACACTTCGAAAGTAAAGACAAATTTTTTAATGAATACTATGGCAAAAGAAAAACTGATTGTTCAACTCTAAACTTTGCATAGATACAGGCCTTAACACAAGGAAGAAACAGCAGACTCCACTCAACTCCATGCAGACGGAGTCCGTCATTTTCCTATTTACAATATTATTCAGTATCCGAAAGTTGCATTCCCAAAATAGAACAAAATCGCACTACTTTGGGGATACAGCTTCCGGGTACTGGAGAATATTGTTCTGTTNTTTCCTGATTAATTTTTATACCTACATTTAAAATTTAAATATCTCCCTCTAGGCAAGCCAACAGCCGCTAATATTGTAACCTTGTTAGTTTGGCGGTGAGAGCTTTCATTTGACCCGAATATGTGCCATCGTTTTAAGTTACAGTACAAACACCTCCATTGTTAGATAATTTGATCACAAATAGAACTCGGTAAAACCTGATCGCAAGTAGAGATGTAAGCCGAAGGGTCAGACGGCGGCGGCGGCTTTAGCAACAAAAAAAAAAAGTTTTTGCTCCTAAAAATGTCAGTGGCGGCTAAAAAATTCGTAAGACTATCTCCGATTCCGTGGCGGCGCAGCTGGATGGCTTACACCTCTAATCACAAGCAACAACTCGAGGTCGATAGGTCTTAATACAAATAATTTACTACAAAACACCGTTTTTTCCCCTAAGATCCAAAACAAGACTCGTATATCTATATTTTGCCACAGATCATTTATCACGTAACAATATTAATATAGGATATTTGTGAGAAGTGAAGCTTACGTTTCGAAATTTCTCTATTTAGAGAAATTGTAATCATTCATTTTTACGTCTCGTGTTATTAAAAGTTGACTTCGAGATTTTCTTTCAGTAATAAAATTTTAAACTATAGTTTAATAAAAGAAAAACATCAATATTTATTTTTTGTTACATACCCGGACAAGGATTTCCACAATCTTGTCGTAGATATTCTACACGATCTTTTGTAAAATTGAATACTTTTGAAGCATAACCATTTAAACAATAACATTTGTTAATATTAATAACAGCTAATGTTGTTTGTAAACCTTGACAAATACTTAAACATAATTCATATGTTAAATATTTTGATATAAATGCAGGTAAATCAAGTGTTATTGGTTTACTAAAACAACGTTGTTGAAAATTGTGAACAAGTAATGTTTTTGTTTCACATAAAACATGTTTTGGTTTTAAACAATTATTTATTTGAGTAGTATTTAAAATAGGATTTCCTTTTTCTTCGATCGAAGCACGTATAGCAATAATACATGAATAATCAATTTCACTTAAATTTTTTTTTTCACTTGGATTAATCATTTGAAATTCATTTATAGGTGAACGATACATACTAACATTTGATACTGATGATGTTACATTTTTAGAATATAGACTAGATGATTGAGTTGTTGTTTTATTATTTGTTTCATCTAAGAAAGAATTATTTTAATTATATTAAGAAAAAAAAAACTTAACGATACACTCATCACATATTCAATTGTAATATTCATTATGAGAACTTTAAATTGTTTTCATATGTATGAAAATGTCAAATTACTAGTAAATCAAACGAATAGCTTTCTTCTCTGCTAGTATCCAATCATTTTTCTTTGTCTGATAATAAACTCCCCATGTTGTACGTTTGTTCGTACTACCGCGAGTAACTCGGTGAATTTATTAACTATTCAAAGAGATTCTATTAAAAAGATTTTCATTTTTTTATATCTATGGCAAAAGTCAATATGTATTGATCTTGATCATATGCAGCTTATAAAAAGGTTCAGAATATTTAATATAATAAATCTACAAATAATCAATAAAAGTGAAAGTGTTAGTATTCAAACATAACTCTATTTCAATCGAATAACTACTTGCAATTCTGAAAATCCTTCAAAGAACCCATGTGATTCAGATCGAACAAACAAAAAAAAAATAATCGGTAGACTGTTCGGTATATTATACATCAGATCGACGGTATATACCGGTAGGGAGAAAAAATCTTCGATATACTGACATTATGAACGAAAGTGTAATGTGGAAATCAAAGTGAACTCTTTACATTCTATTGTTTATGCTGATTGTTTGAATTATTACATTATCTCAATTGTTTTCTACTAAATAGATCTAGATCAGTTCAGCTCAGATAAAATGCTTTCAAAAATTTAGTTCTAGGAACTGAAATCAGAGAACATTCTCAACAATTCCTTAGATTTGAACTAAAACTGAATTGGTTTATCCTTACTAACTTATTAATCAATAGGGAATTCTTTCAATTATAAGCAAAAAAAAAAATCGAAAAATGATTGATAAGATTTCTATGTGAAAATTTACCACTATCAGGAAGTTTATCAAGAAGAAAAAAGCCAAGTCGAGCTTGCCATTGTGATGTATATTGAACAATCTCACTTTTGAATGAATCATCTTTATCATTATCATCATCATCATCATCATCATGAATAAACCAAAAATGAGATTTATCATTTTTACTTGATTCACTTGTTGATGTAGTAATACAATTATTTCTTGCATCTTGAATTGTTTTACGTTCATCTGATATCCGATAACAACGTCCATTTAAATCAAACCAATTCATTGGACAAAATCTTATTTCTGGAAAAAGAGAACTCATATAAGGCATTTCATTTCCATCATCATATGATATTGAATACTTATTTATTGGATTTGTTATACATAAACGATATAAAAATCTATGTGAATACAATATATATGAACGTGTACGTAAACAACCATTATCTAATACATAACGTGTAGTAGAACTCCAACTAGAATAACTTATTTGAGAAGAATTTGAATATGATTTATCATTTATTGTTAATGAACATTTCCATGAAGAATCAATTGTAATATCACCATCAAAATCAATTGAAACGATAGATTGTTTTAAGTTTAATTTTTCAATAATTTTTAAAAATATATTCCATGTTATATTTCTATCATAAACATAACTTATTGATGGTGATGCACATGAACTCCAAAATGCTTTGTATGCATATATACATTTTTTTAATTCTTTTATATAAACATAATCAAACGGACATGAACCATTTAAATCATATATAGCCCATGTACGTGAATCTGTTAATGAACCACATTGAAATTTGTGTTCAACTTTTGAATCATCTAATATATTATCACAATAGTGATTACAGCTGCTATTAGATAAAATTGTTAAATAATGTGAACTAGGAAATGGTAGATAGTCTTGTCGTGATATGATACATACACATTGATTATTATCATTGTTGAAAGCTAGAAATCAAATTTTAGATTTTTTTTTCTTAAAAATATCTATGTATGTTATAATTTACTAATATCCATTTCAGAGATAAATGGTCGTGAGTATTTTTCGAATAACTTTTGATAGGAATGAGATAGAGATCTGTGGTTTTCACCGTTGGAAAGAGCAGATTAAAATGCATCGAACCATATATAGAACGATTTTTTTCTAACAACTTTTCTGAAGGTTTTAGTTAAACGTTTTCAAAGAATTGCGTTTTTCTCCTACGTTAAAAAAGTGATTTTTACTATCGAAATATCACAAAAAACCTCCATTTTTCGAATATTTTGTTGAAAAACTGGGTGATGACTTGCACTCCAATGGCTACAATATCGTATTGGTAGTAGTTAGGAATAGAGTCTTTCCATAGTCTTTTGTAGCTCTTCATTAGGCGGTTCTCACACACTCCTGAAAGTCAATAAATTAATATCTCAATCATGAGAGGCATGGTGTTTTTCTTGAAGTTTTACGTAAAACCTTCAGAAAAATCGTCAGAAAAAAATCTTTCTATATATAGTTCGATGCATCTTAATCTGCTCTTTCCAACGGTGAAAACCGCAGGTCTCTATATCATTCCTATCAAAAGTTATTCGAAAAATACCCACGGCCATTTCTCTCTGAAATGGACATTAGTAATAAATCAAAAGAAAAATGAACTTTTTTGATTGAAATTTTCTGTTACATGTATTGATGTACTTTTTTATTCAATAAAATAACAGAGTTAAATCATTCCAGAGAAGAGTTACTTTAAAGAATAAAGAAGTCAGAAATACTAGGAGAGTTCGGTCAGATCAAATTCTATCACAATAATTATTCAAACTGTTTCTCTGATAGAAAATGATTTATGCCAACAGTTATGGTCATTGAACTGAGCTGTTCGAAAAATTTTGTTCGTTTTGGGAACGACATTTCAGCAACGGAACAAAATTTTTTCAGACCCGGAATTGTCATTCTTAAAAAAAAAGAAAAAAAGAACAGGGGTTTTTGAATACGCTGAAGCATCTTTGTTAAAACTTATTCGAATAGATCAGTTTAAATCAAAAAATGTTTTCAACAGTTCCTTAGATCCTAACTAGAAATAATTCTAAACATGAATCGTCTCTATAGAAGATGTTACATTCCCTGTTAAATTTATATCTTTCTTAATATTTAAATATTAAAATCCTAAATATATTATAATGTATATATATATAAGAGTAGTGCTTTATTTCTTCATATAATTGTTATTCTTTTTTGTAATTTTGATTGACGAAATAAACTTGACTTTAATATCAATTCATACAGTATTTCTTTATTGTTATTTTTAAACTTAATAGTGCATTCATATGCTCAAGTTTATCAAGAATTTATATTAATTTTCTTAAGTGAACATATTTTTTAAAATGTTAAATGAAAGCATTGAGTACAATATGACTGAAAAAGATTCTTTTTAAGGCTGAAAGTCGCAACTGGCCTACTCGGATCAATCTCTTAAGTTATTTTTAATGATTAAAATGAGTGGTTTAAAAAAACATTCATTTTTCTTATTTTAGCTTAGGCCTTTTTTTTTTTTAATCATTTTCTAATAAGAAATATCATATTCTATTTGCTGCAGTCCGTAAGCTTTCTGAATTTTCAATAAATGACGTTTCTCTATCTCAGTAACACGAGTAACATATTTAACAGATGTTTCCGAATTTCAATTATTCATTTCTCTTGAAATAAAATTATTAACTTAAGTTTAGTTAGTAAAAAGACATCAACGCATTCAGTCAAGACGTCTACTCAACGCATTAGTTTGGATTGTATTTTTTTCCGAGGTAAAAACATAAGATAATTTCATCAACAAAATAAAACATGCATACAAAAAACTACCGAGGATTTTTAGAAATAATATCCTTTATACAACTATTTTAGATCGATAAAAATCGTCCAAAAATCAACTAATTCAAACATTCCAATTAGTTCGGATCGGTTACAACTTTATCTCATCCGATACTATCTAACATAGACTCTTTGTCAAACACTCATGTGAGTATGAACAATGCTAAACTATATAAAAATATGATACAGTACGTACGTAGACGAACATTAGATTAGAAAATGAAAGTTATCCATTCATTGGTTCAAATAGTGATAAATATAATACTTTGAGACATGCTCGATCTAACATGCGAAAAATGTACAATGCATCGCTCTGACACTTACAAAGCAGTTAGTGTTATGTACTAATAATATCGAGTGAGACAAAATGATGAAAACATCTCAGCAAAGACAAATCATAAAGTTTTGATTTTTGTTTAAAGGATACACCGCAGGATACTTTACAATAGCCAAAAGAAAATTTTTTTCCTTTCGAAGGTCCAAAAAAAGACTTTTCTGATTTTTCACTATTTAAATGTATTAACCTCCGTTTTTTTTATTAATAAATAAAAGATCGATTGTCTATATTATATCACGGATCAGGTATTCCAATTAACTGTAATATTGAGATGTGAAAAAATCATCATTGTTTGGAATGATCTAATCATAGGTCTCTTTTCCATATATGACCGTGATCATGAAATTTTCAAGAAAAAAATTTGATGAGAGTAGAGTATTCACTAGAGAAAATTTTCAGACAAATATTTAAAATTAGCCGCAGATATGTATCACTTTTTGACGATTCATATGAAAACTATCCAAAAAATGCTTTCTAAATTAGGTAAACTTAAACTGTGTGACATGAAATAAGACCAAGACTGATCTATTAGATGAGGAGTCTAATGTCATAAGTTTTTCTTGCTTATATTGAGATATTTTTATGTGAAGAAAATAGTAAAGTTATTAGGATAGACAGTAATGTGATCAAAAAACAAAACCAAAGATTTGATATTCAATTAATATAAGAAAATTCTTCTCAAGGATTATTCAACCTTCACATATGTTTTTTTTTTTTTTTTTTTACCTATTGATTTTGTAATCGTAGTTTCATCAAGACATGCAGCTGCACATTGTTCCATTTTATTTAATGGTGATTTAATAGAAGTTTTATTGAATATAACTTTTAATGTATCATAATAACCAGAGTTTGTCCATAATTCACAGGATGAAAATTGAATTTGATAATTAAATAAATGACCATGTTGAGTATAAAATTTATCTTCAGCATAAGCTGAATAAGGTCTTATACCACCACATGTATCAGTTGTTTTACCTTGACTATTAGACCATCTCATACATGGTATTTTACAAAGTTGATCTTTTAATCGATTATGATGCATAAGTCCACCACCTGAACATCGACATATTACTCTTTGTAAATATATTATTGGTGTATTACATAAATGAAAGCATAAATTTGGTTCCATATATGAACTTATAAAATAACTATCATGAAATGCTTGTGTATAACAACCAACATAATGATATGAACCATAAATTGGATGAGCCATAAAAATTATAATGAAAAGAGGAAGCATTTTGGAGTCGAACATTATATATTGAAAGAATATAAGTAAATGATACATATTGAAAGTGTTATATTAATTTAAAAAAAAACAAAACAAGCGAAGGAAATCTGAGATGAGTTGTAATTATTTGATATCAAAAAATCGATAATAGCAATAAAAAAAAAAAAGAAAGAAAGACGAACGCTTCTTTCTTGTTATTGATATACGATAGAAAAAGTCATTCGTATTATATTTTTTGATGGGAGATTTTAATATGAAAATGTCTTTGTATTTTGTTTTTCAATTATTCATTAGACAAATAAACAAAAAAAATATAAAAATCATTTATTTTAGGACTTAGTAGACAACCCAAACAGTGTCTAGTATTTGTAAAACAAAGCTTTTATCTCTATTAAATATACAGTAGTGCAGAAAAAAGAGCTACTTGTAGCTCTTCAGGAATTTTGAGTCTATAACAACTTTTACTCTACTCATTGAGATCTATCTTTCCAAAACCTTTCAAAATTTTTCGATAATTCCTTTTTCAAAAGTGCTGGAAAGAGTTTATCGGGTCCCTGTTCGAGACTAACCCGAAGGACTCTATAGTAGGGGCGTCCACTTAAGTCATTGTAAAATTTACAAGCGCTTGTAGACTAACGAAAAGTAAAACAAAGATTCATTGGTTGGTTTTTCCTTACACATAAAACGAAGTATTTTACAGTCATGTCCGAAGATTCTTATGAGAGAGAAAAGAATAAATTTTTATTTTCTAATCGTTCATTTCAATATAGTCCGTAAGGTCCTTCCTTTCCGGATGTTAAAATCACAATTTTTTTTCGATTTTTAGTTTTTCATTGTTAATATAGCTTTGAAGTCTAATGCCATATAAATGATAGTTCTTCGTTGTTAGTTAATACTTTAATTAAACTCAAGTTTTGCACTGCACTTATTCTTTGTATGTAGAATTCTCCTAATCATAATGATTAGTTTTCATTTCAAAGATGCTGAGAGGATGGATTATGAACCTCTAACATAGCCAGTTTTCGATCACTTGAATTTGAAAAACAGTCCTGAAGTTTGTTTTGTATTTTTCTCAAAATTAGTTTTTGAAAGAAAAAAAAAATCAAGCTTCCGATTTCAATGATCCTATATGATATTCGAAAAAAACTTTCCAAAAGGATTTGGCTTCATATTGAATTTTGACTAAGTTAACGAATTTTGATCTGAAACTTTGCACATATAGAGAATATCAAATAGTCTAGTTTTCATAAAAGAAATTCACAAATTTCGAACAAAATCTCTTCAAGATATGAGATTTTCAAGACATAGGTTATTTTCCATGGGATATATATATTTTTTTTGAAAATGTCATATTTCAATGAGATTCTGTTCAAAACTTCTAAATTTGTTTTATGAAAACTAGTCTAATTGAGTTTTCGACACGGGCAAAGTTTTAGAACACAATTCGATAAAACGAATTTTTCGAAAACCTGAGACCTCTATACCATAAACATATTAAAAATTTCATAGATTAGTCAAATTTCCATAAGAATCTAAATCGTTTTAGAACTTTTATTAGAACACTTTGTAGTGTATATATAGGTAAAAACAAAAAAACATTAATGCCAGAAGAAAACATCTACAGAGATTCCCTCGTTAGCAACACTTTCTACCTACATCATAGAACGTATATAAATAGTGTCTCGTCATAATATATAAACTACATTCTTATTGCATATGTGAAGGATTAAGTAAAAAGATAGTGAAGAAATGTGTTGAACAATAGATAGAATAAAACAATCAGTCTGTGATTAGCAACAACAGGTACATTGTGTTTCACATTTTAATTTCGTAGGAATTGCGTTAATAAAGTTTTTTTGCATTTAAAATATGCTTTTTATTGTGTACTCAAAAAGTGAGTACACTCTAGAATCGGTCAGTATGTCCGGCCGGCCGTCCGTCCGTCCGGCCGTTTACACGATAACTTTCGAAAGGAGAGTCAGATCGCGATGAAATTTTTTGCACAGTTCAGTCTTTACAATATCTCGGTCGAGTTCGAAGATGAGAAGGATCCGTCGAGAAATGACTGAGTTATAAAAAAAATTGTAATTTTTGACCAGGTCATCCCTGAGGGGGAGTACAGGGATTTTTTCAAAAAAAANCTATAACTCTGGAGGAAAGGCCTATGGGCCCTTATCCTTTTGAATTTTTTCGCACCTTACTGGGGTCTACCTTGTGCACAGAGTTTGAACTCAAAACCGATTAATCACTTCGGGTATCTCCCTCGCAAGTTGAATATCTAGGATATGAATAATAAAAAAAAAAAAAAAAAAGAAAAAATATATGCTAACGAAATATAAGCAATGAATCGTATCATATCAATCAAAGATTCCCTATCAAAGTAAAATATTTAATGAATCAAACAATCAGAAGAGAAAAAAAAAACAGCAATAGAATATTCTTTGACATTTTTGTTAAAATATATAATATGAATAGATATATTAAAAAAACAAAAGAAAAACTATAAAAATTTTTCTTTGAAGTGTTCGATGTATAGAATATACAAATGAACCTTCACAGGTAATCACAGTCATTTACACCTTGGCCTTCGAAGTGTACAATGAATACTCATTTTTGTTGAATAAGAAAAATGAAATGTACTATATATATACATGCATACTTAGTAATATTCACTTTTGATTTGATTGCTTTTATATGACGCATACCTATAACGAATCATGTTTCGTCAAGATCTACTTTTTTTTTTTCATTCTGAAAGAAAAATAGATAGACAGAAAAAGAAAAGAAAAAAAAAAAGAATCTTTGCTTTTTTTTTCTGCCTTTCTTGATTACTCGCTTCGACTATGAAGGAAAAAAAGAAAGAAAGCAGAAGAAGAAGAAGAAGAAGAAGACGAAGAAGCTTGTCGATTAGCACAATAAGCTTGCTGTCACGAATATAATACATTTATAAGTATTCGCAACAAATGTTATCTGTTTTTAACCAACACAAAAAAAAAAAATACATATATTATTCATTATAGATTATTTCTTTTTTTTTTTTATCTTATTCTTTGATGTTGTTTTTACATGATACATAATGACGGCTACTGAACAGCATACAACGGATTTATTTCGTCATCAAATACCATCAACTGTGTCATGTCTATCATCAAATGTTGGTTCAATAACAGATTTTCTTATCACTTCCGAACATTCCTCATTAAATATTGATGAACAAGTATTAGAAAATAGTAAACAAGAAGATATATCAGTAAGATTCTATAAAAAAAAAGAAAAATTTTCTTTTCATTTTATTTATTTAAAATAAGATATGTGAAAATGTTTATGAACCATCAAATGAATCAAATCTATCGAGTGGTAAAGAAAAATTAGGTCATCGTCGTGTTGATGAAACAGGACAAGTAACATATAAACGTTTTATGGTCGATGATCTTATGAGATCATTACAAATTGGTTTGAATTATATTCTTGGTAAACATAATCAACCTCAACGTCAGGTACTTTATCAAGATTATCAACAAGTTGAATATCAAGATTTTCCACCGTAAGAATATTTGGTTTTTTGTTTATTCAAATAATTAATTGATAAGAAAAAAAAAATGAAAAAGCGAAAAAATTTAGATAAAAAAAAACATGATGTGTATTTTCAATGAAGCACAACGATATGTAAAGCTCGAAGAATCTTTAAGTGTGCATACAATGATCATCTGTCTTTCTTGATTTCAAATGATAAAGAATACTCTCTGTCAAAATCCTCGGTTTTTGTTTTTATTATTATTTGTCATAATATTAAAATAATCGAATTTCTTCTGAAGAAAAAATATGTATTCATTTTATAAGGAATGAAAAATATTTGATAAACTTTTATTCTATTATTTAAAATGTTTTCAATAAGATTTTTCAGAACATATTCTTATTGTTGAGGAACTGAGATTCGAAAATAAAATTCTAATCTTAGGGAGCTACGAATTCACGTTTTTTATAGAGTTCGAACTCGATGAAAATTAAACTTTTGGCATCGAGTTTCAAATCCAGTAGGTCTAGATTGAGTTCTTTTTCTTTTGTCATCAATATCAGGTGCTCTATTTTTCTAAAAAAAAAAAAAAGTCAAAGTAAATTTATTTGTTTTGCACTCGGTGATCAATTTTTTTTTTTTCATTATTGATTTCATTTTATGTTCTACATATTTGAAATAGAGAATGAGAAAATATTGAAACAAACATAAAAAAAACTATTGGAGATTAATTTCGAATCTTCTCGATTCACACTTGACATTAAATGTAAACTGGCTCCGAGTCTAGACAAATTATTAGAATCTATTCAAATGTGAAACACACTATACTGTAGTTGTTCTTGTTAATCATAGGAAAATTTTTCTTTTTTGAATTCTATCTATTCTAGTAAATATTTCTACATCACTCGAGAAATGCAATAAAGAAATAGTTCATATATGTATGAAAACAAGACGCTATTGATAGGCTGTCCTTGATCATATAGTAATAATATTTGTCATGGTCTCTAATTAGCGTTTGTATTGGTCTCTGATTAGCGTCTGTTACGGTCTGTGGGGTTTAAATTTTTCATCATTTATATTAGATCCTATTTTTTAAAAATCTTTATAACATTAATATTCATACATAAAATAGTATTATTATAAGAAATCGATTTTTCGATAAACAAACAAGTATAACGATTTGTTAGAATACAGTATGCTCTTTATATTGACATATGCAAAAGATAATTTACACTTTAACCCTTTACCCCCGACAGCGGTTCCAGAAGAGTCATTGATAAACTAACTTTACAAATAGAATATTAGTCTGTCTAATGTACTAATGATGTAGTCTAATTCGCCGATTGTGTGTCTATAGAACTGTTTGATTGGTATAACAATATATTAAGCCTTGATTTTTGTTTTGTTTCTTTGACCATATTATATTGAGTAGAGAAAAGTAACATTCATTTTTTTGTTATTGTCATAATAGAAGAAAAAAAAGAAGAAGAAATAAATCAATAAACATAAATCTCAAAAGAATACATGTATTTTTGACATATCTACTTTTGCTTTGAGACATTTTATAATTTCGGAAGACATTTAAGTGATAATAAATACTATATCAACTTCTTATGAGTTTAAGATTTATAGTAAATATATTAACTTTGTTCTTGTTTACTTATACTAATAGCTTTATAGTCAATTCTATGTTGTAGTATGTGTAATTTGATAAGTTAGTGTGAAACTTTCGAAACATATCGAGTTTGTTTAATTTTTTTTTGTTTGTTTTTGCAATCGTTCTAAAACACGAAAAATTTATCTATTCATCTAATAAATAAATTCATTATGTTTATTTCATATAGAGAAGGTTCAAAATCTACTCCTAAACATTCATATGCTGAATTTCGTTTAAAAGCTTATGCACCAACAGCATTTCGATTTTTTCGTAATGCATTTGAAGTTGATCCATCGACATTTATGGTAAATTAATCATGAAGAAAAAAAGTAACATATAAAGAAAAAATTCATTTATATTCTAGTTATCACTTTGTGCTAAAGATTTACGTGAATTACCAAATCCAGGTGCAAGTGGTTCAATTTTTTATATAACAGCTGATGATGCATATATTATAAAAACAGTATCAAAAAAAGAAGCAAAACTTTTACTAGGTCTTTTACCTGGTTATTATATGAATTTAACACAAAATCCTTTTACACTTTTACCAAAATTTTTTGGCCTTTTTTGTTATCAAAGTTCTAATAAAAATATTCGTTTTGTTATTATGAATAATTTAGTACCAACAAATGTTAAATTAGCTGAAAAATATGATTTAAAAGGTTCAATTTATAAACGAAAAGCATCTGAAGAAGAACATAAACGTGAAGTACCAACATTAAAAGATAATGATTTTAAATATCAACATCCATATGGTTTAACACTCGAACCATTTTTCTATGATCAATTAATGCAAACAATTGAAGATGATATTCGAGTAAGTGAAATTTCATTTACAAAACAAAAAAATAAAAATTAATAGATTTAAGTTTAGAAACTATTCAATCAACAACATTGTTTCGATACGAATTCTAATAAGAAAATTCTTAGTTGAAGTTAAAAAAAAAAAAAGCTTAAAAAGAATTCAAACCTACTGATAAAAAGTTACATGTTTAATAGTCAATCAGATAGTATTTATCAAGCTATTCAATTTTTGCCAAGAAAAACAGCACTTTGTCATAAAGGAGGACACTGTTATCAAGTCTACTTGAATACTGAATATTTTGAGAGAAAGACATATTCGTTTTCGATGAAACTTTCCGAACTATCAAAAATGTCTATGGAAGAAATTTTAGATCAAAATTCTTTGTTTTGAATTTTTCGAAAATGTCTTGCACTTAACAACAGCTTGATTATATATCGGCCATAATTCTTTAACGGAAGATTCATAGGCAAAAGTCTCTTATGTTTTTCTTAGTCTCATCGAAACCTACTCGTAGCCATAATATGCAGTCGAATGACATCTGACAGAAGCTTCAAGGAAGAGATTTCGCCTCACGCACCCACTATAAATAACGCTTCTAACAATAGATTTTACTCTAAGTATTTTTTTGTTCAGTTGTGAAACACGATTTAAAAGAAGTATTGAAGTAAAGGAGATAGAAATTTGAACCGTTCTCTCTTTATAACATATGAACTACTTATTGTATTTCTATAGGACTAAATAAAACGATGATTTTCCAAAACCGATAGAATAAAACGATCTCTCTGTTATTAGTAATAGCAATTACAACATATTTCACAATATAATCTTGCAGAAATTGCGCTAATAGCTTCTTTTTTTGTTTTTGTTTTCTAAGAATATATTCAAATTGTTCTTAATAAAGATTTGTTACTTTCAATAATAAAAATATGTTTTAGGTATTGAGTAGTTTTGATATAATGGATTATTCACTTCTATTAGCTATTCATAATATAACTGAAGAAATGAAATCAACACAAAATCTATTGTCTATGTCACCATTACCATCACAAGAAATAATAACTGAAAATGAAACAAATTCATCAGATACAATGACTAATAAATCATCAAATATGCATGAAGAACAAACAACAATATCAACAGATACTAAAATTGCTATGGCACAATCATCTAATCATCCAACTTATATACAATATTTACGTGTTATTGATTTTATTCGTGCACAACAAGAACAATCAATTATTAATACTAAACAAACATTAACAGATACTCCTATTGATAATAATGATACAGCAAGTATTAAAACAGTTAAACAAGAATTATCACCAGTGTTAAATACATTTACAGAAAAAACACCTGAATTAAATGAAGAATCATTAAATTCTACAAATATGTTTTTGAATACAGATAGTAAAATTCCCATAAGTCATCAGATCAGTGTGTCATCATCATCATCATCATTCCATTTAACTAATGGTTTAATCGGTGGTAATGTTTGGTATAATCGACAAAGTCTTTCACGTCTTGCAATGTATGTTTTTTTAATTTTTTATTCAAATTAGAAATTTCTCTATAATTAACTGATGAGATTTAAAAAAAAGAAGTGTTCTTTAATTCACTCTTCAATATAAAATTTTGCTTTATTATCAATACATATATTATTGAATTAAATTCTTTTTCTTTAAAGTTTACAACTATAAATATATTTGATAATTATTTTGGAATTACAAGCTTTCTGATAGATAGATAACAAAAGTTTCAGCACATTATTACTATGAATTATGTATAGAATTCATTACTATTAAATTAAAATAAAGCTTGAAAATTTAAGAGACATCACAGATCGAGATCTAAACTGATGCATTGATCGGCGGCGGTGGTGTTGCAGCTGAATCATTCGAACATTGAAAAGAGCAGCATCTAAAAATTCTTTTTAAACTCAGCGACGGTTTATACCTCTAATCACAGAGTCTAATAGAAAAAAATAATAATAAAAATATGCCTTTATCTATCTATTATTAAATATTTTTGTAATAACATTGCTATAATTAGAGAAAATTATTCTTGTTTGTATACTAAAATATATTTTATATTTTATTTTACATAGGGCCGGTATACCAGCTGTAAACAACAATGGTGATTTATTATTATTATATGTTGGTATCATTGATATTCTACAAGATTATCGTCTTCGGAAAAAATTAGAACATGTATTCAAATCAACATTAGTAACTAGGGTATGATTAACGGAAAAACAATTTTACATTGAAATAAAATTTCGTTCTTGTTTTTTTTTTTTTCATAGGAAGAAATATCTGTTTGTAATCCAAGTCATTATGGTGCTCGTTTTGTCAGATTTCTTTCGCATAAAGTATTTCGTAAAGGTATGATTTTTGTTTTTAAAATAGCATAAATACTAGTCTAATAACAAACAAATGTCAACGAATTGCACTAGTCAATAAGGCAATTATACCGATTAATGGAGAAATGTCTTGTTTCACATAAAGTCATGCATGTCAAAGAGAAATAGTAAAAAATAAGAATAGAAATATATATATCCTATCCATCATTATGCCTGTGTGTACATTATATTCAAAAAGAAATCATTTGTTTTTTCAATCAGAAGCTATTAGACAGTGTCATTGAGTACATGGAGAAATCGATATCATTAAAAAGATGTCATGCTATCATTGTATTTCAGCAATACATATGTCATTAAGATCAATAATATAAATTTATTCTACTTTTAAATTATTTTGAACTTTGCTTATATGAAAGCAGTGATATATGAAATAAAATTCTCGAGACTGAAAAGAAAAATGATTATACGTCATTCGGACTTCTTCTTATGTAAATGAATTTAAGACACATCTGCTATTGTTTTAATAAACAATGTTTTCTTGATTTTGTGAGGAATGTAGTATTTTTCTGGTTTTTTTTTTCATACATTATCCAGGTTCTTTTCCATCTGTGATTACTCAATAAAACAGAATCTTGAAATTTGTTTAAAAGATTTTACAAAAATTAATCTTATATGTAATTCTGATTTGTAAATAATTATCTATTTGACTTTATTTAGGAGCTCGAACTGGAAATACTTTACTATCTGATAGTCAGTCAAATACAGATCGTATTACTTTTCATAGTAGCAGGTAAGAATATTTATTTTTAATTTATCTATTAAAAAAAATAAAATAAAATTTAGATTATTAAATCCATCGTCAACAAATCGTTCTCAAATCAGTGATGATAGTTCATCAATAACGAACAACAACGCAATTTATACGCGAAAATCTTGATTAATACATATATATTTTTTTTTTTTCATTTGTCTTTCTATAAATAACGATGATCTCTTCAAATAATTGTTTTTTTTTTCTTTATATTGAAAACCAAGATAAAACAAATCATGCATGAAATGTCTTTTTTTTCTTCTCTTTCTTGTCTTCTGAACTGTTATGCATTCTTATGTAAATTTATATTAAAATAAAAAAAAAAAAGCCAAAAGAACAACAAATAAAATGAATTGTTTATATTAATAAATAAAAGAAAAAAAATATCTTTTTCTCAGATATTTAAATATAAAATGATTCTACTACGAAGAATTATCAAACCATCAATTCATATTCGATATGCTAGTGGGTATGTTAATATTTATAATTATGATGATTTGCAAGAAAAAAAAAAAAGTACACAAACACATCTTATTTATAGTATATCATTTCGAATTAATGAATTAGCACGATTCAGCGATGGAAGTGCAATTGCTCAAGTGATTATTTAAAAAAAAAAATAATTTCTATGAAAGTTTTCCTTTATGTATATAGTTAAATAACACAAGTGTACTTGTTACAAGTGTTAGTAAATCTAAAACATTATCATCAAGTCAACCATCATTTTTACCATTGACTGTAAAAAGAATAAAAAACAATTTTTTTAAAAATTATCTCTTTAATTATTGTTTAACTTTAGGTTGATTATCGAGAAAAAGCAGCAGCAGCTGGTCGAATACCAACAAATTATTTACGAAGAGAAATAGGTTTAACTGATCATGAAATTTTGACTGGACGGATGATTGGTAGAATAAAGATGCAATACATTGTTTTTAATCTACCAATTTTATATTATTATTATTATTATTAACTGTTTAGATCGTTCAATAAGACCTTTATTTTTAAATGGATATGTTTATGACACACAAGTATAGTTTATCTTATAAAGAAGGTCTACCATGAGTTTTGAGTTTCAACAAAAATTAGTTTACATGTAAATAAAGAGTAATCCTTAACAAATTATATCTATAAAGGTTTTGAGTACTTAGGACGATGTTTTAAATGGCATATTATCCAATAACACACTCTAGATATTACTATCCAACATTTCAAAATATTTTGTCTAATGATATTTCCGAAAAATCAACTCCTTTGTTACTTGAAGACTGATTGGAAGGTTTCATAAATATTGAAACAACATAGTCAGATCATTTTGAATCTAAAAACAAATATTACCGTTCGACTTAGTATAATTAATTACCTTTCTACCTAACTGCTTTTCCGTGTGACTACAGGTCAATGAACTGAAATCTAGAGTCTCCGAGAAAGTCTTATAACTCTCGAACGGAACAAGATAGGAATGACGGTCTTATGCAGATCAAAAGAAAATTATTGCTTTCGAAAATCTTTATCAACAACTAAAACAGTGGATCACATTATACTTTGAAATGGATAGTACGGATCGATTTGCATAATTGTGTCATGTTATATACGAGGAATTCATAATTCATTAAAACTTTAATTTACATAAAAATCAATTTTCGTTGAGATCAAGAACTTATGGAACACTGTTTATAATTATAACTAATTTTTTTTTGTTCTAATAGGTTACTTGTAATATATTGTCTGTAGATGGTGTAATAGACCCTGACGTATTAGCAATTAATGCAGGTATGAAAAGATGTAATATGGAATTTAGAAAGTTGTCCCGTAAATCATGAAGGAATCTATGACATTTTCTTTCTTACGCCTCCTCTTAGCTAGAACTATAAGCTATCAAAATCCAATCAGAAAAATACTGAAGTTATAATTATCTAAATCTCCTTCTCTTCTTCATAGTTCATTTCGCCCTCACTTTGACAATTAACCCCCAATAGCATGAGAGTACCTGTTAGATGTGCAAAACTCGTCTTATTATGCATGTTGAAGCTTAGGTTTTAATAATACAAGATTGAATTGACTTCAGTTAAGTCGAAATCCCTTAAAATAGGATTAATCAGTGAATTGAAGTTTGAAAATGAAAAATAGTTCTTGATATTTATGGAAAACATGAGATCAATAATTTAACGAACTGATTTGCTTTGTCATTTGAAACAAATTCATTAGTGAAAGAATAGTTTTTTTGTGTACTCAAAAAGTGAGTACACTCTAGAATCGGTCAGTGTGCCCGGCCGGCCGTGTACACGATAACTCTTCACAATTACATCTGATTGAGCTGAAATTTTGTGCACAGAATTGTCTCATCAATATCTCGGTCGAGTTCGAAGATGAGAAGGATCCGTCAAGAAATGGCTGAGTTATCGTAAAAATTGTCATTTTTGACCAGACCATCCCTGAGGGGGGATACAGGGATTTTTTCAAAAAAAATATTTTTCTCAGAATTATCCACAACATATATAAATCGACTCAGTTTTTAACGCTGATTCTGAATCTGATATTAGTTTTGAACCAAATCGTAGCTTTCTAACAAAACATTGACTGAAAAAGGTCTAAAAATGCAGAAAAACTGCATCCAGAAAGCAAATAGTCTAGATATGTCTCAGATGATAAAAAACAAAGTGAATATACCTGTTCACTTTTTCAAGTACACATAACACTCGGATTTAAATCCGAGGTTTTCGCATTTATTTTACATATTCATCTACTTATGAATCAGGACTATTTTTATTATATAACGTATCAATACCTCTAGAGTTGAGACTTTCCTTTAGTTTATTACTGTGAGCTTTTCATTTAGAATGATAGAAAAATTGATTTTCGAATTCAAACTGTACACAAAGACAGACACCTTAATTGAGAACAATAGTTTATTATGAAAGTTTTAGATCTTTTCACTTTTTCTTATCATAATTCAATCTTTTGGTGTACATGAGTGATGTAACAGGCATGCTCCTACTATAGTCATCTGTTAGAATAAATACAACAAAAAATTCTCAAAATTTTCACATTAAACTCTTGTGAGAATTTCCCTCTGAAGACAAAGTTTTAATTTGAAAATTTCTACTCATTATCTTACCAATGAAAGTTCATGTGGATTTGAAGTTTTAATTTTTGATGCATCAAGATTATATCGTTTTTTTGTTAATGATTTCATCTAGAAACATGAAAAATATGATAAAAGTTTAATATTTCTAAATATATTACAGGATCTAATGAATCAGCAGTTAGATCAGCTTTTGAAATAATTTCTGGATTTTCATTTATTGTTGGTTGTTTACCTTCAATTGCAAGCCAATGAGCTAAAAACAATGAAAATTTATTTTAAATTCATATAATTGAAACTAAAAGAAAAATTTAATTTACTTCGTAGAGAAATATCTAAAGGTACTTTTGGTAATGGTGCAGTAATAACTTGATCAAGTTGTAATTCATGATCATCAATACATTGAACTTCTCGATGACTTGAGCCAGTTGCTGTTGTTGTTTTAAATGGTAAATTTCCATTTGATAAACGAAATCCAACAATTGGCTTTATTTAGAATAAAAAAAAATGTGTTTCAAAAAAATTCTTTTTTTTTTCGCTTTATTTTACTTCGAAATATCGCATTTTCATTGCGGATTCAAAATCGTCTGTGATCATCTTTGTTCGACGACATTTTCTTGTAAATTTTAGTGCATCCTAAAATTAAAAAATTAGAAAATATTTTTTCGATTTTTCTTTTGATTTTTCTCAATTGACTTGTAATAAAAATCGAACAACACCAGTTGCTTCTAATGTTAAATATTTAATACATTCATCGGTTAGATGTTGACATTGATTTGAATCAGCTATAAATTGAATAGATGCAGAAGGAAATTGTAGAAGAGCAGTTTTGGCTTGATCGGTTGTTGTCATCTAAAATCGAAAGATTTTCATTTGTGTTTTATTTGAGAAAATCTTTTCGATTAAATCATTTCATATTTCTATTCTTATTTCTATTACCTCTTTTAAATATTTTGCACATTGTCGAATGACTATTCACACGTATAATAATAAAATAATGCAAGATAAAAATGAATTTATAGACTGAAACTAAGTATATATGATTCATTTCAGAATGCTATATTCAACCTATCAGATTCTTACAGAGCATGAGAAAGGAAGAAAATGAGAAGAATTATTTTCTATTCTAATCGTATTTAATCGAGAATATTCTTTATTTGTTTATTTTGAAATTTTCTAATTCTTTTTAGTTCGGAAAATTTCGACTAGACCGTTGTGATTCAATGATTGAATAACATATATAATCCGATCACATCTATGGATATATATATATATATATGGATGAAGTATAAGTTTTATAGAGGTGCACAGGGAGAACAACGATTGATTGTTGTTTCTTAATCAGCGATAGTAGCATGAAAAATTCCACTAGCATTATTGTTGATTCTATGACAATAAATGAGAAATAGTCAATGAAGGTTGGCTTATTCATTCAAATAATAATAATAATTTTTTATTGATGAAAATAGATGACGCTAGTGTACAATAATTTTATTTGCTTCATATGTGCGAGCTAACGTTTTTTCTTTATTAATAGAAAGATTGGGACAAAAATTGTTTGATAACTTCTCAAGGCGATAATTTCGACTGTCGGAAATTGTGTATTAAATTGCTCTAAAACGATATATGTTATTGCATTAATTTGCACTTTATTTTGCCGAGATCGATTAGCCCGTTTATACTCTAGCAGATAGTCATCGTTTTACGAGCTTACAGAAAACAATGACATGGTAACACCGGTTTTCGCCGTTTTTATATCATTTACAAACGTTTTTTCTTTGTCCTAGGTTTAAAAATTACATTGACTAACAGAAAAGTAAACTTTTACTAGATTTTGATGTGTTCAGCATGCGTATATAGTGGCTGCATAGGCGAGCAAAAAATAACAGAGGACGTCCAACTTGACTAGTGTCAAATGTTTGCACTCCCGTCTAGTCTAGATAGATCACTCATGAAGTCTCCAAAACATCCCAAGTAAGCAAAAAAATTAAGGAAGACGACCGATCGAACTAATACGAAAACTCTCGCACATCCGTTATGATTAGACATCTTTGGGTGACTGTCGTTTAAACACATGAACTAGACGAGAATGCCGTTGAACTCAGTCATGTCTAGTCCGTTTTGTCTGTTGACTCCGTCTAGACAAGTCGGTGGACTAAAAAAAGAAGATGAAAGATGGATGTGAACATCGAACCCGACAGTATTCGAAACGTGACAGGCATCCTGACGACTGACTAGGAGACTAAGACAAACTGACGTCAGTTTATTTAGTCTAAATCATAGATTGACTGCCGTCCATTCACTACACAATCAGAAATCAGTCGATGTCAAACGACTTTGACTAGTCTGAGACGTCTTTAATAGTAGTCATCAGTAGTTTGTTTTCAATGAGTGCGTCATCAATTTAAGTCCAGTCTAGTCTAAGAAACTCTGAAATAATCCACTTTCTTGGGACTAATTTGTGCTACTAATTCGTTTAAACTGATCAATAATGGAAAGTAAAAGAAGTAGAATGGAAATGGAAAAATTTTTCAATATCGACATCATTTGTCGAAAATAATCGATGAATAATCAGATGCATTCAGAACATGGCCTAGATAATAGAATAACAATTATTTGATGCCTGTCTTGTACTAAAACTTTCGGAGATTGACAATTATTAAGCACGATGTATTATATTATGATTATGGGGATTAATAACATTCATTTTTATTATAATACTAAAATTATGTTGATTGGCACTGGTATTAATTTTTTTTAACTAGAACAATAATCAAAGAGTCTGACGTAATCAATAGTGAGGTCAAAGATAGACAGTTTAATTTATGCATCCTTGTTTTTTAAAAAATTCTGAATTAATTTTATTCAGACTTACCGAAATAATTATGAATCTCATAATAAAATAGCTTTTATTCACATAAAAACTTGATTAAAACTGTGTTACATATTCTCTAATAAAAAGCTTTTAAAAAGAACAAACGTTAGCTTGTAAAATATTTATCAAAAGAATAAACAATAGTTTTTTATGAAGCATTTTTTGAATACTAGTGCGAAAGCTTTCTCAATTTAGGACAGAGGTACGTCTGCAGCAGATTTTTAACCAGCATGAATATATATGGAATTTATGATGCACGAAAATATCCGGTTTCGACCAAAAGAAAAAAAAATAGGTTTTAGTCGGTTTTTTCGCTTGTAAAATTTTTAAGTATAGTAATTACTAAAAGTCAGAAACGATTAAAGAGAAACTTTCAATGGATATCTATAGTCTGTGGATATTGTTATCATTTTTTTGTACGCTTTCCGAATAATAGAAGATTTATGATTACTCTTAATATAAATATATTGTGGATTTTGTTGTTCTTAAAAAGGTAAACACAATCCGACGAAATTCTAAACTGCTAACTCATGAAAAACCGACACTCTAGGATAGAGATGTCGATTGCGGCAGCGAATGTTTTTTTTTCTGGAGATATTTTAAAACTGCATGAATTAGTAACAGCAGTGACTAATTTTCAACCGCTACGAGTATCTCTGCTTTCGGAAATGATAAAACGTGCCGTTACATATGGTCAAAGATTATGATTTCGTTTTTTATGGATCGATGAAGCTATAAGTGTTCTTAATAAGTCTTTTATTATTTTTTTGATATTTTATAATATAATCAATACTTTCGAATTTGCTCTATCGTTAAAGATGTCACTACTATTCAATCTCATTTCAATACACGAAAATTCAAATATTAGTTTTTCATACTTCATATTAGTAAAAACTTGATAATACAGTTTTATTTGAATAATAAATTTAAATCATTTGAATATTTGACAAACTAACTTGATTGGTCTCAAGATAACATAAAGACGAGATGAATCATAATGTTTAGCAATTATGCTAGAAAATATTGCTTGTGCGATTTTCATTTCAACAACAATTCATTTATTTTAGATCGATAAAACTATGAGTGAATCAAGTGATGATTTCTATTTACGATATTATGTAGGTCATAAAGGTAAATTTGGCCATGAATTTCTTGAATTTGAATTTCGTCCTGATGGAAAATTACGTTATGCAAATAATTCAAATTATAAAAAAGATACATTAATTCGTAAAGAAGTTTATGTTAATCGAGCTGTTATTGAAGAACTTAAAAGAATTGTTAATGAATCTGATATTATGAAAGAAGATGATGCTGTTTGGTATGTATAAAAAAAAAATGTTTTTGAAAAGGCTTTTCTCGCAATAAAGTCAATGATAGCATAAATAGATTGTATAAATTTGGATTTCAGAAAAGTTTTTCTTATTTTTATTTTTTGGTGTTCAATGACATTGAAGACTTTTTCTATAAATACGTTTTTTTTTCAGGCCACCACAAGATCGTACTGGTCGTCAAGAACTTGAAATAGTTCTTGGTGATGAACATATTTCATTTACAACATCAAAAATTGGTTCATTAATTGATATAAATAATAGTCGAGATCCAGAAGGTTTACGTTGTTTTTATTATTTGGTACAAGATTTAAAATGTTTTGTTTTCTCACTTATTGGTTTACATTTCAAGATTCAACCAATTTAAACAAAAAATATGAATAACTATAATCAACTAAGAATTTTGTGTCTTTTTGTTTGTTGTCCGTCTCATATGTTATTAAACATCCTTTAATTTCGTTTTTGTCTGTGTATTCAAACTGGTTGTTATGTATATCTATACACCAATGAACAAGATTGTTGTTCTAGTTGAATTCTTCTACTCATTAAAATAAATTCCATTGGATAAAAAAAATTATGGATTATCAATCGTTATATATGAACAATAAATACGCGTATTCTCTATACAGCACACCCTAATAAGATATCCAAAATGATAAGAACACCTAGATCTTCCTTGTAAAGTTATTGATATTTTAGTCTATAGCACGACATGTACAAAAGAATCGAATTAAAATATTTTTGAGGATTCGATATATCGTGAAAGGAATATTCTTTGGAGCTAGAATTTTCAGGTGAAAATATAATCATTCGATTCTATTGTACATACTGTGTGATAGGCTAAACTTTTAGTAGAACGTCTATAACTTTGTTAAGAAGGCTTAGTTACCCTTATTGTTATGAAGTTTTTAATACTTCATTAGGGTCTACTCTTAATACATAAAGTCCGAACTCAAAAACGGCGATTATCATGTTGGAAAGATTTCTTCGTTATTTTTATATTCTATTTCTGGATAATTTTAAAAAAAATATCAGTGTAATCGGGCTGATGTAATATGTATAATTTGAAGGTTGTTTTTTTGGTATGTTATCCTTTACCCTAAATCTGGTACCCAGAATGCATCCCTGAATCGAATCCACATTTGTGGATAATAAAACGAAAATTAATCCAGATTAGGGATTTTGATTTAGGGATGTTCTAATTTAGGGATTTTTTCTCAATTGATGACGGACTCCACTCTTTCATAACGAACTGGTGACCAGTTATTTTTTACAATATCTGGAACTGGTCACCAGTTCTTTAGCAAAAATTAAAATCATTAAATATCTACTATTATTAATCTTGGCTTATTAAATATGTTTTTCGACAGAATAACTGACTAATGAAGATAGTTTTAATACAATTATGCAACAGGTATCTAAGCATCTGGTGACCAGTTCTGTCACATTGATNAACCAAATCGTAGCTTTCTAACAAAACATTGACTGAAAAAGGTCTAAAAATGCAGAAAAACTGCATCCAGAAAGCAAATAGTCTAGATATGTCTCAGATGATAAAAAACAAAGTGAATATACCTGTTCACTTTTTCAAGTACACATAACACTCGGATTTAAATCCGAGGTTTTCGCATTTATTATTTATGTACGTTGGATTAGTGTTAGACTCATCGAATTTATACATTGTTAAAAATCACTTCTTATTTAATTATGTTATAAATTTTGAGACAATAAACAAGACTGTTAGAAAACAATTACAGTGAACAATATCCAATATTAGAAGAGATTATTAGGTTTTGATACTTGTTCGAATAAAAATGTTTCTCTTGCTTCAATATTTCAGCATATTAATCATTTATGACTTAAATCATTTTACTTTTATGATGATTATTAGACGAATGATTATCCGTATTGTAATATATTTTGCTTTCGGTGGCCAAGCTCGATCTCTCAGAACAATTGAAAGACGATAAATGACTTACCAGATCTATAATTTAGACCATATTTTTTTTTTATGATTATCTTCAAAATCAGTTGATGGATTGTGTAAGAGCTCTGCATTAAGTTTCTTGTTAGAAAGAATAAAGTCTCGACTACAACGCTAAATAAAAATATTTCGTTCAAAATACTGATCAAAAGCTGAGAAATTTTAAGAACATGTTTGATTGGAATAGTTTCTGGAATTTCGAAGAAAACCTCGATCCACTAAGAAGATTAATCTTTCATTGGGTTTCCTAGCGCTACGATAGGGTATTGTAAAAATAAAATTTTCAACTTATCAGTTGAGTTCGAAATCAACATTTTATCTAACATCATTTGCCACTAAAAAAAGTGTTCACAGTTAGTAAAACGTCAACTTTAATGAGCCCTCTACAAAAATACATTATGTAAAACAGAATATAATTTTTCTATTAGACATTATGAGAAAAACTTCATTGGATGTTGTAGAGAAAAATTAAGGTTTTTTTTTTATAAAACTGCTTCTTATGAAATTTGTGGTTTTGTAGCTTAAACGTTTTGATATTATTAGAAAGTAGATACCACTTTGGTTACATCCAAACATAACAAGGCATGTTTTACAACGAATGGTTGGTCGCATTTAATGCAGGGCTTTTGCACCATCCGTGTTAAGTCAAGTTTCGCTTGAAATTCGTCAATGCTTTGATCGAAATTCTAATATTAGAATATCAACTGAAGAATAACGAAATATTATAGAATAATTTTTGAATGATTAGAAGAAAAAATTTCCTTATGCTTTCTATAAGATGTTTTCATAATTTTTCTTCGAAATTTATCTCAAATATTGTTTCATTTAGCTTCAGCATCATTAGCAACATCTGACATTCCTTGGAATGGACCAATTGGTAAGTTTTCTACGATTGAATTTATATCAATTTATTAATATTCTATTAGCTGCTGTTCGTATTGGTTCCATTGATGGACAATTTATTATGAATCCTACTCGTCAACAAATGCAAAAAAGTGATCTTAATCTAGTTGTATCAGTTAATCCTAAAGGACATCTTGGTAAAAAAAAGAAAACTTTAAAAACATAAAAATTATATTTCTTTTCTTCTTGTTTAGTAATGATTGATGCATCAGCAAATCGTTTATCTGATGAAAAATTTTTTTCTGCACTTGAATATAGTATTGAATGTTGTCTTCCAATAATTGATCAAATAAAAAATCTTTCAAATAAAACAAAACGTACAAATATTGAATTACAAAAATTTGATAATACTTTAGTTGATAAAATTACAATATTATGTTATGATCGTATTCTAAAAGTTTTTACTAATTTTACACTTGATAAAATTGCTCGTGATACAGCCATAACAGCTATACGTCAAGATATTCTTAATGAATTATTATTAAAAGAAGAAATATCATTAACGAATCTATCAGATACATTTACATATGTTGTTAAAAAAATATTTCGTAATTTAATATTTGAAAAATCACATCGATGTGATGGTCGTTCATTTGATCAATTACGTTCAATTAATTGTAAAATTAATTTATATCAACCATTACATGGTTCAGCTTTATTTCAACGTGGTCAAACACAAGTATTATGTACAGTTGCATTTGATGCACTTGATTCACAATATCGTAATAATGATTTTGTATGGAGAACAGGATATAAACGTAAACCATTTATTCTTCATTATGAATTTCCACCTTATGCAACAAATGAAATTGGTCGAGCATATGGACGAGCTGATCGAAGAGAATTAGGTCATGGAGCTTTAGCAGAAAAAGCTGTTGAACCAATTGTACCTAATGAACTGCCATTTATGATTAGATTAACATCAGAAGTATTAGAATCTAATGGATCATCATCAATGGCTACTGTATGTGCCGCAAGTTTAGCACTTATGGAAGCAGGTAAAATAAGATATTGACAAACTTTCGTTAGAAAGAAGATTTTCAACTTTTATAACTTCCACTAGATTGTTTAAATAAGTCTTTTCTATAATATGCAGAAATTTTTAATTATTTGCTAATTCGTTTATGTCATGAACTTCACACTCAGAGATTGATGCCGTGAAAATTTTTTGAAATCATTCATACGTGGTTTTATCAGAAAGTACTAAAAACCTGTATGATTATTATTACTTACAAGAAAATTATGTGAACTGACATCTGTTGTTTGAGCTCATATTGGATTCACAAGAACGTGTTGATAAGATTAGAATCGTCCCTATAGGCTTTTGAAGTCGAGTTTATGATCGCTCGACTGGATCTTCGACCTAGCTTTAGATACATATAAAGAAAAACAATTTGGATGTTAAATTTTGCTTAGATATAAGTCGAATGACATATAGACTGGTCTACAAGTTTCAGTTATAAAAAAATGTTCATTTGAAAATTCAATATATCAACAACAACAAAAAAACGTTCGTTTCGACTGAAGCTTGTAGGACCAGTGTGGATGGAATGTAGGTGTCGATCTATTTCTTATCTTACCCATATCCTTCTCACTAAAGCATTCTTATACCCTAAATATAACTTCAAACGATAAATATCAGTTCTGGTGGTTTCTTCATCAGAAATTAATGCAAAAGATGTGTCCAATAAATTGCTTACTTGAAAGCAAATATTTAAATATAGGTTTCCAGATCCGTGAATTTCCGACCTTCAGTTGAAAACCACTTTTATAAAGATACTTTCTATTAAAAGATAGATATTCTATTTCGTCTTATAAAGTATTATATATGGGCATGACAAGTCGGCCTGATACCCCATTTTGGTACAGTCCTATTGTAAGGATAAAACATGGTGTTGTTCGGGCCAATCCAGGGTTATCTATGACCCTCTATCATATGGCCCGAACAATAGTATGTTTTATCCTTACAATAGGACTGTACCAAAATGGGGTATCAGGCCGACTTGTCATGCCCATATATATATAATCGTATAGGTGTACAAATCCATGAACCTGTTGCTGGTGTTGCTATTGGGTTAGTTTCAAAATGTGTTGATGATGGTACAGTTACTGATTATCGCATATTAACTGATATTCTTGTAAGTATTTTACGAATTTCAATCTTAGAACATATTTAGTTTTATTTAATAGGGTATTGAAGATTATATGGGTGATACTGATTTTAAAGTAGCTGGAACACGAAATAGTATAACAGCATTACAAGTATAATTTTGAAAGAAAATTCGATTTTGAAATTTTCTTTCTTTCTCTCTGTAGGCTGATATAAAACATATGGAAGGATTGCCATTGAATATAGTTAAAGACGCACTTCGAGCTGCACGAGGTTATATAAAATCTACGTGCGTATTTTCTTATTTTGAAAATTATTTATTCTATAGATGCTCGTTGTAAAATAATTGATATTATGAATAAAACAATAAGTGAACCACGAAAAACTAAAAAACAGAATACACCGGAATTAGAAACATTAACTATACCAAGTCATAAACGTGGTCGATTTCTTGGTATTGGTGGTTTAAATTTAAAGAAAATTTTAACACAAACTGGTATTTAAATATTGAACTCATTATTTTCTTGATTTGATCATTTATTTAATAAATTTAGGCGTAACAATATTACCAATTGATGAAATTACTTATTCAATATTTGCACCAAATAAAGATGCTTTAAATGAAGCAAAACAAATTATCGATAAACTTTTAGAAGAAATGAAAGAACCAGAACTTGAATTCGGTGGAATTTATACAGCTAAAATTGTTGAAATACGTCCTAATGGTGTTCTTATACAATTATATCCAACAATGCCACCTGTTCTTTTACCAAATTCACAACTTGATCGACGAAAAGTAAGGCATACACTTTATTAAAAAGCAACAGAATTGACTCAAGATAGTCAACAGTAACGGAAGAGTGTAAACATTTTTTTTTCTAAGAGAATGCAAGAAGATTTTTTTTGCCTTCTCTAGGAAAGGGAGAAGATCTCTACATTTCAACTAGCTTGTGATTTTGACTGCTGCCTAGTAGCAGATTCAATAGCCGGATATCTTCTCTATAACCATGGCTAGCTGTAGCACTTGACAGAAGGTTACGGTATAGCGTAATGAACATGCTGTCAGACGAGTGATCTGAGACAAAGCGCTGTTATTAACTTGTCGAAGGTCAATGCGACTCTACTGGAGAGAAAAACAAACTTATTTCGTCATTTAATGAATGTTGTTACTTTCTCGGCCGAACCAGCTGTAAAAAAAAACAATATAACAAATTTCTAATAAACTTTCAATAGAAAATTGTTTTTTTTTTCTTGAAAAACAAAAATATCACTTGATTATGAAAAAAGTGAAACAAAAATTTTCTACACAGACTATTGTAATTTATTGAATGTATTTAAATTACTAGATTTATCTTTTGATAGGAATAAAATAAAGAAGGAAAAAATATATTTCAACATTAATAAAGAAAAGCTATAGACTTGAACCAGTCAATCAATTCTTTCAACAAGCTTATTAACCTTAGCAAAATTTCCAACTTCAAAAACCTACTATTACAATTACCGAAAAACACCTTTTTACTGTTCATGGCTGAATTAAACATAAAGCTTAAGCTTTCTTCTTTCCAAGGTTTCTAATGAATGGTTCGTCACAAATATTTGAAATTGTTCACATAGACGAATCTCAACGAATAGAACAAAAGTTATCATAGTCTACAAATTTTCAAAATACTACCTTCTAGAAAATATCTGGGTCGTAAAGACTTAAAATCACTCCACTTGCTGAGTTGCAATAAGTCCGATAGATCTGAAACCATCTTTTTACTAATATTAGACACTCTTCGAAGTGTCTATTATTTTTTATCTCTTTTTTTGTACTTTCTTCCATTTGAATAAAAAGATCAAAATCCTAACCGTATCTCCAAAAATTCAAGTTTGTTTTTTGTAAAATCTGCTATCAATCAATGATACAATATTTTTCGAAACAAAAGAAGTAGTCATCCCAAACAATGTTTAGCTCGATCGAATGTTCTATGTCGGAGAAATGCACGACGATTCTAAGCCTGATTTGTGTAAAAATTAATTTTCCTGTATATATCCAGTGGCGTACGCAGGGGGGGGGGGCCGAGGGGGACGGCGCCCC